ATACCCCACTGGTACCCCATCTCCGGAAAAGGGAACTGGAGAGAATTCTGAAACCGAGTCCCTTTCCTCCTTCCCCCTTGGACTTAATTTTAGAACCTCTGAGTACTACATTTTTTGAACTTTTATTGAAGTAAACCATACATACAAAAAGAGCACCGTTATATGTACAGAGCTGACAGATTTTCACGGGCTGAATGTACCTATTTACCCCACACCCAGATGAAGCAAATTGAAACCATCCCAGTTCCTCAAAGCCCCCTTACCCCTCCCCTGAAGCCCCCTTGTGCTCCTGTATCTCCTCCCCCAGGGTAAACAATCCCACCTTCTATGCCACAGATTAATTCTGCCTGATCATGAACTTCGCACGAGTGGAATTATGTAGCTCATAGTCTTTTTTGTCTGCTTCTTTTGCTCAGCTTTAGGTCTGTGAGATTCGATGTGTTCTGTGTCCTTATAGGTTCTGTGTTCTCGAGGCTGTATGCACCATCATTTTTTTCATTGCTTCTGCTTTTAATGAGTCCCTTTGGGCTTTGCCTCTTAAAACAGAACACAGGGCTTCACGGCCTCCCAGGCGCGTGTCTCTTTATCTGCCCAGGCCTGGCAGGGAGGGAGGTGGGGAGGCTGGGAGACCATGTGTGCTGACCCAGTCCTGGCCCCAAGGCGCACGTGCTTCCAGGAGGCCCCTGCCTGGCTCTCCACCCAAGACTCCTCCCTCTTGGACTCACTAAATGTTCTGTTATTCTGGGCTTGGTTGGAGGCCGAGGGGTGAGCTGGCAGGCATCCTAGGTAAACAAGAGCAGCTGCAGAGGAGAGGGACTTTTAGGATGGGAAGATGGACCTGATCAGACCCCCATTCTATGAGGGCTGTCAGGGCTTGTGTGGGGACCTCTGCCCCATGAGGCCTGGAACACGGTGGGAGGGGAGGGTTCAGTAGAAATCGGGGCCTCCTCTGGGCTAGGCCAGGCACGGGGGAGGGCAGGTTGCGTGGGTTTGAGTCCCAGGTCTGCAACCTTCCAGCTGTGTGACTATAAAATCTCTAAAATGGGGGCAACAACCTGATTGGGTGGTTTGAGGAGTAAATAACTCAATGCATGTAAAGGGTCCTGACCTGGAGTAAAGTTGCCTCCTATGATTATAAGGTGCCAGGATCCAGCGAAGTGTTTTATATGCACCGTTTTTTGAACCTGCACACCAATCATGAAAGTAGACACCCTATCATCCCCATTCGACAGATAAGGAAGCGGAGGCACAGAGAGGTTGAGAACTTGCCTGAAGCCACACTGCAAACCCATGGCAGAGCCAGGCTTTGATCCTGGATCTGTTTCACTCCGGAGTCCAGGCCCCTGACACCAGGGCTATGAGCTGCCGTGGAGCAGCGCCCAGCACTGTGCTGCAGGGACCCAGACTCAGCCCTCACATCTGGTGTGGGGAGCAGGATCTCGGGCTCATTTTCTCCATCTGTAAAATGGGCCTATGTGACCAGCAGGGTCTTTCTCCTTCCTGGGCTCCTGGCTAGTGGGCTCCCAGGGGTGGGACAAGCTTGGGGGCTGGTCAGGAGAGGCCTCTGAATCTGTCCAGCACTGGCAGACCTGGCTGGGGCAGCCCTGCCCCTGCTGTTTAGTGGAGAGGCAGTCTGGCCTGGGAGCCAGAGCTGGCAGTCCTGAGTCCACTTGGTGGCCCCCCTGTGGGGGGTGTGCCCCGACCCTGCTCTCGGGGTGCTCCACAGCCTGGGGCGGGCACACATAGAGCTGTTCCTAATCCAGGCTGCCGAGTGTTGCAATGGGCTCTCATGACACGCTGAGGGGAACCAGAGATTGAAGCAGTTGGCTGCAATCTGGGAAGGCTTCCCAGAGAGGCCTCCTTGGAGCAGGGTTTTGAAGGCTGAGTAAGAGTTCCTTGGGTGGAGATGATGGTAAAGGTGTTCTTAGCAGAGGGAGCAGCAATGGGTGTCAGCTACTTAGCTCCATTCCCCCCGACCTTCCTAGCCATCTCAGTTTTCAGGGGGCTGGAAGCCTGAAAATGGTATTTTCCAGAGCCCCTTGCCAGCTGGTTTCTGGTTAGGATCTGCCAGTGGGGAGAAGGCGGGAGGAAGAGAGACGCCAGCCTGCCTCTGGCTCCGCCACAGCCAACACCTGCAGGCCTCGTAGGTTCCAGCCGCTCTGCTGGTTCCAGGGCTGCAGTGAGAGCGCCTCCAGCAGCGGGCTGCTGAGTACCTGCCCGGCTCGTGGGCTGCCGACCGTCCAGGGCGGCGGCTGCTCCCTGAACTCTGGGTAACGCTCCCTTTCCCTCTGTTCCTCCTGCACCCCGGAGGCCTTTGGAGTCCATTTCCCTTATGCACTCCCTCTCTGCCTGAAAGAGCCAAGGGGTTCTGTTTTCGAGCTGGTCACTAATTGATAAAATGTTCAGGCCATCTAGGCCAGAACCAGCTATATTTTTCAAGGAACAGAAAGATTCCACACTCAGAAAATGTGATCCTGTGTTTTTTATTTTGATTTATTTTTTAGGTTCACGTCTTGTCTTCCAATGTGAATTCCCTGAGGGCATAGACTGAGGTCCTCCATCACCTATTCAATCAACAAACATTTATTAGTGCCTTCGTTGGTGGGGAATGAGATGAATGACCGAGTCCCCACGCTCCTGGGGACAGTCTAGACCTGGCGCCATCCAATACCACAGCCGACAGCCACCTGTGGTTATTGAGCACCTGCAATGCAGCTAGTCTGAACTGAGCGGCTGTCAGTGTGAAATACACCCCACGTTTCAGAGACCTATTATGAAAATAAGAGTGTAAAATACCTCACTAATGATTTTTTTTTTTTTTTTTTTTTGTGAGGAGATCAGCCCT